AAACATTCCTGTATTATGTCAGTTAAGTATAGAAACTTCAGGCTGACGTGAATCTTACTGCATGGCATTGTCAGCATGAAGCAAGAATTTCTATTTTAAAACATCACACTATATTTTATGTTGCTGAACTTTTTGGCTGCCAAAGTGTAAAACAAAAATTACAAATTATGCCCTGGCAGTTCAGTTACATATCCTTTATTATTTTCTCAGTCAGCTAGATGTAAGTTTGTATTAACCTATAAATGAGAAAACTATATTGCCTGCAAACTAAAGGTGTTTAAATAAGTTTTCTAAAGGAACAGTCAGAAGATATTATAAACTGTTCTGTCGTTCTTGCTTCCTGTATTAAAAGCCTTGACTGCCAGCCTGATATTGTTCCTTGCAGAATGTTTTTTTCCAGCTACTAGCAAAACTAGGCATATTCAAATTTGTGTCATTAATAGTTTTCTCGTCCAATAATATATCTGATATTCTCTCTCAGATCCCATTTCTTTTCCCTTTGAAAGCACAGAGGGAAAATACCAAGCCATAAAAGTTGTATAAAATTGTCTCTGTAGCTGTATAGACTGGGAACCTACAAGCAGGTTTGCGTCCTAAACAATTTGATGGCTTTACAGTTTTAATAAAAAGAAAAGAAAAATAAGATAATACAAGAAACCTTTGATCTTCAGTGTACACGAAATGTGAACTCTAATTAAAATTGATGTAATAGCAAAGGGTGCTTGGAATAGCACATTTTTAGTACAAGTTTTCTTTTTTCATTTATAGAACATCAAGGAAAAAATATCCAGGAGGACTTTCAAGGACAGTTGTCCTTATTGAAGTAAGCATGGACTTCTGTCCTTTCCCATGCAATAATCTACTATAGTGAGCTATGAAACTATGGCTTATTGATCCATTCTTTAAGAAGCTATTGAAAAGTACAATGAGGGTGCCCCCCCCAATCTAAAGAACTTTGCCCACTTTGCATCTGAATGCTGCACTATTCAATATGTGGCACTGCTCAATATGTTAACCCATCTTCTGTATTCTATTCAATTCAGCTTTGATCATGCCCCACCTTGAGTATGATGTCCAGGTTTGGACACTACACTTTAAGAAGGATTCAGAGAAATTAGAAGAGGTTCAGAGAAGGGCAACAAAGATGATTAAGAAACTAGAAGCTAAACCATGTGAGGAGAGATTGAAGGAGCTGGGAATGTTTAGCTTTGAAAGAAGGCAGCTGGGGAGATATAATAGCACTGTTCAAATGTCTGAAAGGATGTCACCTAAAAAAGATCAAGACCTGTTTTCTCTGACTCCAGAGTGTAGGATTTGGAATAATGGATTTAAGATTTAGGAAGGGAGATTTTGGGTTTAATGTCATAAAAAAAACCCTTTTTAATGGTAGTTCTACAGTGAACTCAGTTATTTATTCATTTATTTATATAGCCGCCCATCTCACACAAAGTGAGTTATCAATTATGATGAAGCAAAGACTAGAAAGCCATCGGTCTGGGATGCTCTAATTTGGATTCCTAGATTGAACAGCAATTTGGGCTCAGTGGCCTCAAGGGCTTCCTCAGATGTTTTAATTCTTGTCAGTTTTTGTTTGTTAACTAATTGTGTGGATGGACTTACAGTCATCACGGTCATAGTAGAGATGGAGACGAGGATGATAAGTATTCATATAAATATCACATCTAAACTTCACGACAAAAATCAAAGTAACACATTTCAATTTATGTTTACTTTAGGCAAACATATTAAAAGCAGTACTTCCCTGCCAATGGTCGGTTGTCTGTCTGTCTGTCTATCAGAGTAGAAAAAGGGCAGAATGCATTGCTAGAATTTGGTATGAGTATTCTGTCACTTGTTTCTAAAACAAAGATCTTATGGTATATTTTAAATCAATTTTGCTATATTTAATATACTCTGAGGTATATCTGTTGGATTTGGTGGAATTAAATTTTATGTAAGTGTTCTTAAGAATGCAGTTTTATTTTTATTTCCAGTGGCTTGATAGAATTGCTGTAGTGTGTGTATGTGTGTGTGTGTGTGTGTGTGTAGTTTCTCTTGAAATAGGAGATCAGGGCATCTGTGTGGTTACTTAGCCCAATCCCTAAACTTTTGATGCCACCACTGCACATTTTTAATTGTGCTCTTCCATTAGATACCAAATTCCCTCTTAATGCATTGTTTTCACTCTAATTCATCATTTATATGTTACAACAGACAGATATAAGTGTTGCACGTAGTATTACTCCTTGTTAAGTTAGCAGTTGTGGAGAATTTGAGTCTGTACAATCCTGCAACCTGCTAATGTGATATTTAATGAGGAGACATCAGTCTGGAGAAAGGTAGTCAATATAAATCAGTGTTTACAAAGTGTGATTAACTCTGAAATATTTCATCACTGCTCTGGTCCCAGGCATACTCTATGCTAATTACTAGAATCTGTGCATGTTTCAGGGGACTTCTTCAGACTCGGAGTGCAGCAAACATAGAGCAGCAAAATTGCAATTATGCCTGGGCTGTCTCTGATGGCAATTTATGCATTTGGTGTGATGACCTCCCACTTCCCAAGAGAGCAATAAAGAGAATGCATTTTCATTAAGATACTAATGCACTTAATCACAAGGGGAAAGGGTTAGAAAGTAACAAAATACTTCTAAAAGCAAGATGGGGAAACACTGATGGGGAAAAGCATTTTTATTCTTTCCATGAAGTACTACCACTGCAGATTGCACCCACTAAGTGTAATTGTGCATGTTCAAGTCAGTAAGGACACATATATTAGTCAAATGGCTAAGCTTATCTTAAAAGATACGTTTCCCCTCTTTGAATTAGCATATGATATTGAAAAAGAACACAAGAAAACCTCTGTTAAAGCAGACGGAAGGTCTATCAAGTGCAGAAATTATTTTGTATTTCGTTCAGTCAGATGCTTCCAGGAATCCCATGAACGGAATATAAAATCAAGAAAAGGTTCATGCTTTTTGGTTGATAACTCAATTGCATTCTGCCTCTCAAACCCATGCTGCTTCTCAACAAAATGTTACTTAATGAATAGATATTGATAAGTCTCTTCTTCCTGAACTCATCTAGGCCTTTTTAAAAAGCATAAGGCAATTATCACTATTTTATTTGATGGCAGTGAATTCCATAAGTTGAATGAAAGAATATTTCCAGTGTTCCATTCTGAGGTCTAGAAATAGAAGGGAAGGAGAAAATCTCTCTCTCTTTGGTGCATTTTATATTTACTTTGTACTTTCCCACCCTGTGCATCATTTTATAAGTCCCTATTATACCCTTCCCTTAGCTACCTTATGATGATGAAGCTTTAGTGGATTTCTTTTTTAAGAATTCCACCATGAATCCTGGTCAAAGCAAGTTTGGGTGTTTCATTCACATCAAAACCATGGAGAATAAAAGGTTGAAGAAACAAAAACTAGGTAATGGTGTTCTTCCCTTAAAAATATGGTTGGGATGAATCAGGATTGACCTTATTCTCTAAAATGTACGTGGTGGCTGTGGAGTCTCTCTTCATTTTCTTTAACTTTTAAAAATACAGTCATGCAAATACAGGTTTGCATGCTTACCTCAAGGAAACAGTTCTCTGCTTCTGCCTCAATGTCCTTTTTTCCCCCTTTAAATTAGGAATAAATCCAGTGAATGTGAGAAAAACAGAGCTTCAGCAATCTTTTTCTCATAAATGTCTATTTCTTTACCATATTGGGGTGGATATATATCTGTGCCTCCAGGATAAACTGAGGTGCAAAACTACAGTAGAACAGTTAACTAGCTGCTAGATTAGGCTAGATTATCACTGTACCATCCTCATGTTCATCATGAAATAATTCAGCATAGTATAATGAGAATAAGATGTAATACTGTAAACCATCTCCCATCCTGGCCCAACCACCCAGAAGGGCTGGAAAGTTTTGCTTTTCTTTTTGATTAGCCACAATTTAACATTATGTCCAAAACCTAAACTGTGACAAATATTAATTGTAGTTAATAAAAACAAACCAGATTATAAACTAGATTTTGAAACTGATTTATTCCCACTCACAATAGAAGATTAAGCAAAGATGATCTGATCACAAACTATTACTGGTATCAAACTAAAACAAAAGGTTCTGTGTTTATAGCCAAAACAGGTGTCAGGTGAGAGATGTATGCAGATCACAGTTTGCTGCCTCTCCTTGAGATGCTAAAATAGATGTGGTTCAAGCCCACCTGGAACTCTCAGCTGAATTTCATACAATTAATTTGATTTTAATGTATCGTTTATGTGTTAGATTTATATCATTCCTTTCCTTCAGTTGTTCCTTCCTCCTTCCATTGTTCCCCACAACAACAACCCTGCAATTTATGTTGGGATTAAAAAAAAAAAGTGATTGGAGAAAGTCACCCAATAAATTGCCATGGCTGAGAGGGAATCTCCCTGGCACAAATCCAAAATTTCAGAATCCTGTAACTCATCAAGTCATATCTTTAAAAAGAGTTCCTTTCCCCATTCTAGCATCTTAGTAGTGTGCAAAAATATGGATAGTTCTGATAATATATTCTTGCGATTTCCTAAACTACTGAAGAGTGGAATAGTGTGTAAGCTGGGTCCTGCTATCACATCAGCACATCTAATGCATTTTCTTGAGAAGCAAGCAATAGCAAAATGCTTTAAAAGTTTAGGTAGAACCAATTTGCAAAACTCTGCATTTCCTACATTGTGGAAGAATGCTATATGCTAAGCAATAGCCTACTTAAAGTTTTAAGCTGTATCAGGATACATGATTTTAATATTCTGGTTTTGTAGTTTTCTTTAGTATTCAGTAGTGTTTGCAAAAACAAAACAATGTGCCTGTAAAAAGAATTTAAGCCCAGTTGCTAACATTTTCAATTTCATGGTTTTCTTGTTTAGACCTTCAGTCACATTTGTGTTTTTTCTAGATGATTAACACAATTATAGCTGATATTTCTCAATGGATTCTTCTGTTTATGTACTTTAAACATTTTAGGTAACATAGAATACAGCTGCCCAGCAACAAATGAATGTGAAATCACAAAGCGCAGACGCAAATCCTGCCAAGCTTGTCGTTTTATGAAGTGTCTAAAAGTTGGCATGCTGAAAGAAGGTAAGGCTGATCAAAGTCCTTTTACATAATTGTTCATAAACACTGTTAAGAACTATACTTTAATTTGAGAAATGCAATGTATTTGATGACTTACTGTTTGAAAATTCACTTTGGGATGTTATTTATTGTTGTTGAAAATAAAACCATATAATTGCTACATAGAGATGGAGAGAAATGTCTTCATTTAGTAGTTTAATGCAAGCAAACCTAATTCATTTTTCTCTGATGTATCCACTGAACATTATACTTTGATATTTGTATATTTTTAAATGCTGTTATCCAATAGAAATGCCTATAAAATGAATATCTTAGGGAAAATGCTTCACACATGTTCTCAAAAACTCAGGCAATTAGAAAAAATATCTTACCAATTTTTCATGGATTATAAAAAGTATACACAAAAATCTGTTTATTAGGAGATATATCTATATCTAATGGATTAATTGTATGCAGAGTCAATCTAGAAATGAGAATCTAAGATATGAGAAACTGAACAAAATTGTAATTCACAGATTCTATATATAAATCTAGTAATGGATGAGAAGTTCTACTGATTAAAAATCTGTTAAAATTTGGAAATAAAGGAGGGATACATTAAGCAGAGTAGCTCTAAACAGCATGTACCACTATAGTACTATGTAACTTTATGAACATTTACAAGATGAACCGCCAGCAGCTGAGAAATGCAAATCACTGGATGGAGAGCCGTTTGACAAAAGTGTGCAGGGCTTTTTTATTATTGTGTTGAAATTATTAAATTAAAATTAATATTAAATTAAAAAATTAAAAAATTGAATTATGTTGAGCTTCCAGGATATGAACCAGCCCTGGAAGTGGAAAATATTGGTGTATCAAAAGAATACCATCACCATCATCCTTTCCAATTACTGCTTGATTTTCTTCTTGTTATTTTTCTGTAGATTGATTGCATATTAGGGCAGTACAGCCTGTATTTGAAAAGGTATTTTATGAAATACATTGCTGCAGTTGAAGTACCTGTCCTTGAAGCATTGAGTCAACTGTGCCCTCCATGAGGTCCTCTCTCCATGAACGTGCATGCACGGTCACTTTGCTTTTCTGACATTCCCCACAGACGTATTGTCTGTGCACCCCTAGTGTGCGCAAACAATTTGGGAAACCACTGAAGCAGCAGTGCCAAGCCTTCTGAAAGATGGCAGGCTCTCTACGTCAAGAAACTATTTATGCCAGTGTACTTTGCTAAGTACCCTTTCAAATGCTTTGTATAGCCCTATTATGTACAACATATAGGTAGGTCTGATTATACAGCCAATCTAAATACTGAGTCTGCTGAAGTCAGTGAAATCAGAACAGCAGAGACATAATTTACCTCACAGCTATTAAGAGTTCATACACTTAGATACAATTCCTATAATTTTAAGGCATGTTTTGATTGTGGTTTGTCCTTCAAATACAAAAATATTGAATTACCATCTATTTTTTTTTTCTTTTGGATAGTATAATGTGGTCTACATATCTCCCACAGCAGATGGTCAGCATGAGATTTTTGAAATCTAGAGTTGTTTGTAGTGCATCTATTTTCCTGCAGCAGCCTTCAGCCTTTTTAGACTGGGACCCACTTTTTTCACAGACGTGATTTTGATGACTTACTTCTTTGACATATAGTAGAATGTCATTATGGCAGCTCACCTTCCATTGGGCTGTAACTTAGTATTGATTTCTGACCCATCAGCTCAAGGGCCCTTACTCTGTTGGGGGGGTGGGGAATCAAGCTTTTGTACTGGTGAAAGCAAGAAAAGTGAGAACTACAGATTTTAACCATTCAGTCATATACATGTCTATTTCGAAGTGCCTTTGAACTGAGTAGAACTTACTGCTGGATGTATCTGCAGAACTGCAGCCTAGATAGAAAATAGAATAGATTTAGGTTGTATTCCTCAAGGAGAATACAATTTTATCTGTTCTACAGTTCAGGCAAATATGATGCAATTATATATAGCATGTCACAAATTTCTAGTCTTAATCGGAGAAATCCATATTGAGAGGTATCTCAAAAGGCCATGATGTAGGTTCAGCATTTATCCTAAAATGCAGTTTGCAATGAAAATATGGTTTGATTTTCCATTCAGAAACTGAAGTTCACATTTTTTCCTCAGAAACCAATTTTCCTATGACTGTTGTTGACTTGACAAGTCAGTGTGTAGAGTCATTGCTGAGTTGGGTGGCCTTACAAATCTATATAATAAACAAACATGCGCTAACTGAGCAATAGCAGAAAAATTAGGCCTATCGCACCCTTTCAGACATACTCTTATTGGATTATACTTACTTAGAATAAACCTCATTCTGTGTATGGTTGCTTTGGCAGGCATGATGGTCCTGTGAGCCAAATCCTGCTGCCTTTAGTTTTATGCTGGAAAAATTCCTATCTAATTCAGTGGGGACTCTGCCTCATTAAGTGATACCGGATTTGGCTTTTTTATTCAGATCTGGAGAGGGCTTCCTCCATATGGAAACCCTAATTTGTTTCATGTTATGAAACCATAATACAAAAACCTTTAATGGAAGCTTAACATGAACACGCAAACAACATCCTTAATATGAGTCCTTTTCAGCCAGTTATTACTGCTTAATCTATTTGTCCAGATGAAAGAGAAAGGCATTGGGTGGATTGACTCATATTGCCATTTTTTTTTCCCTTCATGTAATAGATTTTTGTACTTCCTGTCATCTTAGTAACTGAGCTTTGTGAAAGTGATCAACATGGATCTTTTCCTCAAGCTATTTATGCTACTGTTCTTATTTTGTTTTGGAAGTTTGTAAATAAAAGGCATTTTGACCCCTACCTTCAAGATAAGTATTTTCACAGAAAATTCACTCCCAAACTAGAATGATTAGGGAAAGCCATGACTGGATCTCCCATCATCAAACAACAAAGCAAAATTTCACAGTGGAAAAATATAAGTGCAAAAATCATGCCTTTATTTTTCCCCAGCATGGTTGATAGCAGCTTCAAGTGGCAATTTAAGCTGGGAAAATATTGAAAGGTTGAACACTCACTGTTTAATCTCTTCGTTCTTTGGAAAACAAAATGAAATTTAAAAATGAAGTTAGAATAAGATAACTGTGGCAAAAAAAAGAAAGAAAAAAGTTTCCCTATGCTCCTTGAGAGGAGGTCACAATTATTTTACTGCTTTATGTAGATTCTGGCACCTGGTAGAGTGTGCCTCTGAAAATAATAATTTTTTAAACTGATAGAAATCCCAAAAACAAATAATTTTTTTTTTTTATTCCATTTTAGACTTGTTTGGAATGCAACTTTAAAGTGCTCTATCTCAGATATGTATAATTAGTTCCATACAGAGGGTTCAGCAGTTTTAATTGTCTAGTCTTGAGATGGCAGCATGAAATTAAGGACGTTTCTGCCCTAGAGAATATGTGACATGTGTAGGAATTGACCTTTATTTGACTTATTTTGTTTGGTAAGTGGTTGATTTCCAAATCTAAGCATGAATTGCTCTTTTCTTAAGTGAGCTTCAGGGAACCAATAGATTGATCCAATTTCCAGAGAAGTTGAAGAGACTCATTACAGCTTGACTCAATGTACAACTTAACTACTCAAAGAAATATTTTTATGTTTGATAACTAAATGTGATGCTCATTAGCAGTGCTAGAAATTCACACACAACGTTAGATACTGAGAGTGCCTGTCCTAGCAGCAGAGGTTTCTTAACTATTTTATAAATTTCACAGATTTGACCCAAACAAGATATTAAGAGCCAGTTTCAGGGGCTAACAGGAGATGTCACCCTTATTCCTTATTCAGTGTTAAGCCTCAGTGTTCAGTAAGTTAATTGCTTTAAGATTTGTGAAATATGGGCAGTCTTTAAACTATATTTAAGAAGCAAATATAATGAAAGTTTGCACTTTCTTTAAATTGAAAATATACTGCTTATTCCTGCTATTTTTCTGGTGCTTAGAAAAACAGTAGAAGGGAGAATCAAACAGATTTATTCTTGCTATATCCCTTAGCTTGTAGAACAGGATTGAGTTGCTGTGTCTCAGTTTGTTTTTAATGTATACTTAAAAAAATTTAATCCCATGCAGCATGCCAGAGGAGGCCATCTATTCAAATGTAAATCTGTTCAATTAAATTACCAGTCTATAATAAAATTTACTGTTGCAACCTTCATGTTGGCTACAGCAGTTGCTACATGCTGATGGCACAGTATGAATAAAAAATGACAGCCTAAATCTATTTACTTAAAAATAAATAGTTGCAAGACTTGAATTACTCTAGCTTTCATAAAAACATAGTATCTTCTTGTTGGAAAATACATACTGGACAATGTGGTTCTTATGTAAACATCTTTATTAATTCAGAAATTAGTGTGAACAAGGCAGAAGCCTTGCTAAATCCAAACAAGTAGACTAACAATCTGTTTTCAGTGTCCAGACAGATGCTACTGTAAAATGCCAGATTTTGACCTTTCCATGGCAGATGTCTAAGTTCCCAAAGTTCTCTGCCAGTACTGTATAGATAACAGACAGAAAGACTTTGTATATACCTAGAATATTGCTATTCAGTGTTCCAGCCAGCTAGCTATGCTGTCTTTGAGAACATTTTGTCAATGGATTGCTATAGCACTCAACAAATCCTTCCATTTGTTTTTTTTTTAAAGTTGAGGAACTTTTGAAAGATGTCAAAGTCTTACATAAATACGCTCAAATTTCATGAGACCTCAGCCTGTGGTCACAGGTATTTTGGCACTGAGCTATTACCAAAAGTGTGAATTATAACCAGGGGCTATAAAAATGAATTTCTGAATTTTTAGACATATACATCCACAGTGCAGTAGTAGTTGCTGCTGTATATACCATTCCCTGCTCGGCAATTTCATGTTTTCATGGTTTTTGAACATGCTGGTCACCACTGATCTTTTCTTTTTCTGAAAAGTTTGGGTTGATTGGTTGGTTTTGCATTTCTGCAAATTTTAGGGTTCCCTTGAATCTTTTAGTAT